CCACTCCAATTAGGAACGAACTGCCGTTGAACTTGAATTGTCCAATTTCTTACACCTACTGATTTCGGATCGAGCCCAAAATGTGGGCAACACCATAATATGGTGGGAGAAGTCATTTGGTGTGTTTTGAGGGAAATCCAATCGCTACAACTATGAATTACCCCAACCAATCCAATTTGGAACGAACTGCCGTTGAACTTGAATTGTCCAATTTCTTACACCTACTGATTTTGGATCGAGCCCAAAACTTCGGAAACACCATAATATGGTGGGAGGAGTCCTTTGGTGTGTTTTGAGTGAAATCCAATCGCTAGAAGTAAGGAATACACCAACCAATCCAATTAGGAACGAACTGTCATTGAACTTGAATTGTCCAATTTCTTACACCTATTGATTTCGGATCGAGCCCAAAACTTGGGCAACACCATAATATGGTGGGAGGAGTCATTTGGTGTGTTTTGAGTGAAATCCAATCGCTAGAACCAAGAATTACCCCAATCCCTCCAATTTGGAACGAACTGCCTTTGAATTTGAATTGTCCAATTTCTTACACCTATTGATTTCGGATCGAGCCCAAAACTTGGGCAACACCATAATATGGTGGGAGGAGTCATTTGGTGGGTTTTGAGTGAAATCCAATCGATAAAACTATGAATTACCCCAACCACACCAATTTGGAACGAACTGCCTTTGAACTTGAATTGTCCAATTTCTTACACCAATTGATTTCGGATCAAGCCCAAAACTTGGGCAACATCATAATGAGGTGGGAGGAGTCATTTTTTGAGTTTTGAGCGAAATCCAATCTCTAGAAGTATGGAATACAATAACCACTGCAATTTGGAACGGACTGCCGTTGAACTTTAATTGTCCATTTCTTACAACTATTGATTTCGGATCGAGCCCAAAACTTGGGCAACACCATAATAGTGTGGGAGGAGTCATTTGGTGTGTTTGGAGTGAAATCCAATCGCTGGAACTATGAATTAGCCCAACCACTCCAAATTGGAACGAATTGCCTTCGAACTTGAATTGTCCAATTTCTTACACCTATTGATTTCGGATCGAGCCCAAAACTTGGGCAACAT